GTGAGAGATTGTGTGTGTGAGAGATTGTGTGTGTGAGAGATTGTGTGAGTGAGAGATTGTGTGAGTGAGAGATTGTGTGAGTGAGAGATTGTGTGAGTGAGAGATTGTGTGAGTGAGAGATTGTGTGAGAGTGAGAGTGAGAAAGTGTATGTGTGTGCGAGAGAGAGAGAGAGAGAGAGAGTGTGTGTGTGTGAGAGAGAGAGTGTGTGTGTGTGTGTGAGAGTGAGAGTCTGTGTGTGTGTGTGTGTGTGAGAGAGGGAGAGAGTGTGTGTGTGAGAGAGGGAGAGAGTGTGTGTGAGAGAGAGAGAGAGAGTGTGTGTGAGAGAGAGAGAGAGTGTGTGAGAGAGAGAGAGTGTGTGTGTGAGAGAGAGTGTGTATGTGTGTGTGCGTGAGAGAGAGAGTGTGTGAGAGAGAGTGTGTGTGTGAGAGAGAGAGAGAGAGAGAGAGAGAGAGAGAGAGACCATGTAGGTAAATGTGTGTTTATGCAGGTCCATGGTCCAATGCCATACTGAGGGATTGCTGCTCTGCTGGAAAACGCTGTCTTTCATATGAGCTGCTGCCTGCCCTCTCAGGTGAACATAAAAGACCCCCAGGTGGTATTTCAGGGGGGCATTACATGTATTCTCCCTACTACAGTGGCACTCAACCAACATCACACACAAATAAAAAACGAGAGAGATAATCTGGTCATGTTGCTGTTTGTGAGATCTTGCTGTGCAGTAATTAGCACTTCCTGCATTATAACATTAACTACATCACACAGAGCGTTTCATTGGCTGGGAGGGGTTTCCACTCAATCCGAAAGGCACAGCCCAAATTCAGCTCTTGGTCCCTTTGTCGCTGCGATGGGTGCGTTACCTTGGCAATGGATTTGACCCAGGCTTTGTTAGACTGTGCGCTGTCTGTCCCGAACATGAACAGGCGCTCGGAATCTGTAAATACCTCAAACGTGTGCTCAAACCTGAAGGTGAGGGAAGAAAATTGAAAACAGCGTGAAAGGCAAAGTTTGACCCTAAGAGCAAACTGAAGGCCGCACTGCCTGAGGAATAAAGTACATAGGAATCAGTCGACAAGATCCAGTGTAATCCTCCTGTTAATCCCCCAAACTGTCACACACAGGAGTGATGCCTCTGTGATACAATGGAGTTTCTCCGGTTTGGAAACTTACTCTTTGGAAACACACACTGTCTGAAGGATTTTCTGAGCGTGCCCACAGACTGACTGAGCAAAACTGTGGTGGATGGAGGTCAATGTAACCAGGTGAAGGCTACCCATTTTGGACCGATAACAGATAGGTCAGAGTTACTTTCTAGATGGTCTGAAGTTAAATACTTCATGCTCAGGGGAGGCAATGGTTTAATGGTTTTTATCAGTGGACTATTAATGCTGAGACCCAGGTAACGTTCTGGGGACCTGTGTTCAAATCCCGCCACGGCAGATGATAGAATTTGAATTCAATTTTAAAAATCTGGAATTAAAAATCTAATGACGACAATGAACCCATTGTGGATTGTCGGGAAAAACCCATCTGGTTCAACAATGTCCTTTAGGGAAGGAAACTGCCATCCTTACCTGGTCTGGCCTGCATGTGACTCCAGACCCACAGCAATGTGGTTGACTGTTAACTGCCCTCTGGGTAATTAGGGATGGGCAATAAATGCTGCCTGGCCAGCGACACCCTCATCCCGTCAATGATTTAAAAAATACAGTTGAGACTTGAGGGTTCGGGTGCATAGATCTTTCAAATGCTACAAACAGGTGCTGCTAATAATCAAAAAGCTGGTCTTGTATATCTAGAGGACTAGAGAATAAGGATGCAGATGTTATCCCGCAGTTATACAAAACCCTGGTTAGACTCCACTTGGAGTGCTGTGATCAGATCTGGGCATCACACCTTAGGAAGGAAAGATTGGCCTGGGAGGGAGTACAATGTAGGTTTACAAGAATGATACCTGGACTTCAGGGGTTAGGTTATGAGGGGAGATTATACAAATTAAGCTCTTTTTCTCTGGAATTTAGAAAGTAATGTTGTGATCTGATTGAAGTCTACAAGATATTAACAGGAAAAGACAGCTGGATAAAGACATCTTCCACTGTTTGGGGATTCTGCAGCTAGTCTGAGAATTAGGGCTAGACCATTCAGGAGAGATGTTAGGAAGGACTCTGTAAATGGCAGTGGTTACCAGATAAGTTATTATCTTCATTAAGCAAAGGTATGGAGGGACAGGGGCCAACGGCAGGTCGATGGAATTAGGCACAGATCAGCCATGATCTCATTGAACATGGAACAAAAACAGAAATTGCTGGAAAAGCTCAGCAGGTGTGGCAGCATCTGTGGAGAGAAACCAGAGTGAAAGTTTCGGGTCGAGTGACCCTTCCTCAGTCTCAGAGATTCCTCATTGAATGTGGAACATGCCTGAGGGGCTGAATGGCCTACTTCTGTTCCTATCTTCCCTTAACCTCATTGTCTGTGGTGGGCTGGTGCTGGAATGTAGCCTTGTGACTTAAGGTCTGGCTGATCAGATCAAAGAGCCCATTCCCTCAGTACTTTCTGTAACAGGTGGAATTGTGCCAAACCAATCCACATTTACAAAATCCACAACCAAACATCTACGATTCAGTGTGGGTCCGTGATTGTGCAGGAGTTGCTGAACAATCTAGGGTGCATCAAAGTTACACTAACAACAAATTAAGATGATCAGTAAAGCTGATAATGTGCCTCATTTATGGTCACTAGAAAGGACACACACACAGGGGCTCATTCCCTGCAAATAAAAGATGGGGGGATTTCAAAACTATAGGGGCACGCCTTTAAGGTGAGAGGAGAAAGATTTAAAAAAGACACGAAAGGCAAATTTTTTTACGCAGAGGGTGGTTTGCGTGTGGAACGAACTTCCTGAGGAAGTGGTGGATGTGGGTACACTTACAACATTTAAGAAACATTTGGATAAGTACATGAATAGGAAAGTTTTGGAGGGATATGGGCCAGGAGAAGGCAGGTGGGACTAGCTTAGTTTGGGCATGGACTGGTTAGACAGAAGGGTCTGTTTCTGTGCTGCATGACTCTGTGACTCTATAAGTTTTGTACATTTATCAATTACCAAAGGACATGGAGAGCCTATTGTATCCCATCACCATGGCAAGCCCTGGCCAGTCAGAGTCATCTTGGCAACAAATCAGCACTCTCGCCTCCAAAAGTATAAATTGTTGTGAATGGTATGAAATTTGATATTCTAGCATTTGTCCTGATGAAACACATGGCCTGCAGCACAAAGGGGAAGGATAATAAAAGTAGGAAGGTTTTACGGAAACTTTACAAGTTCAAAGATGTGCAGTTAGGTGGATTGGCCATGGGAAATGCAGGGTTACAGGGAATGGGTAGGGGAATGGGTCTAGGTGGGATGCTCTTTGGAGGTGCTGTGCAGAAATTGATGGGCCGAATGGCCTGATCCCCCACTGTAGGGATTCTATGACTCTAAGACACTCGCCAGACAATAGTTTTGGGCCCTTTATCTAAGGAAAGATATCCTGGCATTGCAGGCAGTCCAGAGAAGGTTCACTAGGTTAATAACTGGCATGGAGGGACTGTCTTATGAGGAGAGGTTGAGTAGGCTGGGCCTGTACTCATTGGAATTTAGAAGAATGAGAGGTGATCTTATTGAAATGTGCAAGATTCTTAGAAGGCTGGACAGGGGAGATGTGGACAGGTTGTTTCCTGCGGGGGACAGTCTAGGTCCGTTAGAGCAGCTATTGAAGGGAAGATTGCTTATTCCTTTAACAGCAATAGCTGGAAATCAAAAGGGACCGTGTGAGATAATTTAGCCCACCTTTGAAGTTGGAACTTTTGATCTGCAGTAATCCATTCCCAATCTATTTTCATTTTCCCGCTCATTATATCTGGGTCAAACTGCCTGTCTTTTGATTGTTTTTAATCATGAACGTGTACATCTGTACTGGGAGTTTTAAAGGGGGAGAATTCAAGTTGCGCAGTGGTAGATTAGAAATCTGCTTTCCTCTGCTATTTGTTAAAGTTTAGTAAATTTTCTGTTACAGCTGAAACCTGGTGTGAATTGCTTGTGTCCTGAGTAGCATTCGACCAATCATTCCAAACTGGACTTTACAATTTATTTGCACAATTGTGAAGCCTCCGATATAAACCGAGTGCAGCGTGAAGACAGCTGTAGATTTGTGAAGAGTATGGAGAGATTTCTCCAGCACCTACCCGTGTGCCGCTGGGCTGTTGATGCTGAGGCACACAACCTCACGCATCTCAATGGTCCCATTAGGCGTGGAGTTCCTGTCACTGTCATAGTAACTCAGCAACCCATTATCCAGAACACACCATCGCTTGCTGAACTCTACCAGAACATTAACAGAAACAGAGGCAGCTGCAAGTCTGCATGCAGGTTACACATGAAAAGCATCGACAACAGCCATCCTATCAAATCGGTATGATTCGGTATAGCATCCACAGCATCAGAGCTCTAGTTCCAGAGCAAAACACACCATCAAGGAGGCTTTCGAAACAGGAACTTCACTATCGAGCACCCCCTCAAATCACTATCAAGGAGTCCCTCAAACCAGGGGGTCTCACTACCAACAGCCTCCCATTGAAAGTGGAACCTCACCACTGGGGATCCCCGTTAAAGGGGG